GGATCTTCATATATCCTAAAAAAACATCCTGTGTATTAGAGTGTTTCTCCTAGATGATGAATGAGGTCATTCCACTGAGGTCAGAAGTAGTCCTATGAATCCCGGCAAACATTAACATTTAAAAATAAATAATAATTACATGCAAATACAGAAAATAAAGTAAAATAAATAACACTCTTATGGGCAGATTTTTAAAATTTTTCATGTGTGGCTGAAAAAAATGCAAGCTTTTTGGATGTGTTGTGATTTCTATATAGTCATTAGAAAATTCTTTTTCATTATAGACTTTCTAATGATTTTCTAATTATACAATGGAATGATACTGCAGTACTGAAAAAGTGATAGAGTGATTTAAGATTCCTGATAATCATCCATTTAAGGGGCAAGATTACCAGTAAAGCCTATGTCAGGACTAACTACACAAAAGGTTTTGATTAATCCATATCATAATGTGAAGTGTTGGCAAAGGGGAAGTTGAATAAATAATTGCAAAAACATTTTATGAAGAAGTGTGTTAAAATGAAATCAATCTGGTTGTTTTCAACAGAAAATCCACTAATCATTATTGTGTGAAGCATACCTCCTCTAAGAGGAAATATTCATTAGAAGGTAAGTTTTATCTCAATTAGCGGAGTGTTGTTTTATGACCCAATCAATAGATTCAAATGCACCATTTAAATCAATCAAAACACAATTTGTGCACTGGTGAATATATAAATTTCTGATGCATTAGCTTAATTTAAAGGAGCATGAAATTCCATAAAGATCAAGGGGTAGATAAAAATTATCATTGTTTACATAGAGAAAGCAGATATATAAACTGTGTAATAAAAGGTAAAAAACATAAATGTCTCTCAATATGAGAAGACTATAGCTCTATTTTTTTCAGGAACTTTATACCAGTCCACCATCTCTCCCCCTATCTGGATATAATGATGAGAGCATTTTGGAGGAATATTTAACTAAGTGGAATCTCATCAGGAAGCACTTCAAAGAAGTGCTTTTTAATGTTCAAATATAAATGTACTTTGATGACCTTCCTTTTATCAAGCCCACTATTAAAATGCTTTCCTAATACTTCCTTCCCCCAAAGCCTGGGCTGGTTAATCATATGATCTCTTTGAATCACCTTTGATCCTCCAGGCTGATTAAAACCAAATTTGAAAAGAGTATATACAAAGGCATTGAGGCAAGTTTGACCTTGGCAAAATTATAAACTACATAAAGATAGGTTTCAATGTCCCTCCATCTGAGTGTCATTTTCTGTTTTAACTTATTGATTCTACTGTTATTACTTATGCTACTCATCACTTCTTTGTTCTTTTGTAAGCGTATGGTAACTTTCTATGAAGGTTACCTAGCTCAGATAACATGAAATGTGTAAGGACACAGAGCTTTTAGAAAACTATTACTCATATTTTTGCTTCACTGTGTATTAGTGGTATGACCCTGAGCTATTCTGTTTGAACTTCAATACAATCATCACTCATGAAATGCTGGGAAAAATATCTATGATGCCACATAGGAATTTGATGGATTCAACTGATATTGTATGTCGATATTTCCTTCATATACAATATGATGTAAGTTAGTGTATAGTTACATTTAAGGTGATAAAGTTTTTCACTGAAGAAGCTAATTGTACATATAAATCAATTTTTTCTTTTTTTATTATTGTATTCTGTGAATAACTTGGTTTGGAAATCCAAGACTCAACTGACTTGAAAGTCTTCCAGTTATGTTAAACAGACCTACTATGCACAAAGAGGACAGTTAAGAAACATATTTTGATTCAAAAATGAGTAAACTTAATTAAGTGAGCAAGACACACACTTTCAAGCATTTTCAGCAACCTCTATGTGAAGTTTTCTTAATGGAAAAAGTTCTTAAAGTATTTCTCTTTTCTATTCCCGATAGAAAATAAACTCCAAACTCACTGATTTTCATGTTTGTGGATGAATAGGAGAAATATCCTAGTAATCAAATAAGTAAACTGAAAATTGATATTCATAAAATACTATTACCCTTGTAATACCTTGGAAATGCCTATTTGGTATTCCAAAAATTATCATAAAGCACATTACAAGCAATGGCTGCCTAAATAGCAAAGCTCATAGTGTGCGAACAAAAGAAGATCCAGTTTTGGGTACCTTTTTGGAAACAGTAATTTTTCATTGATTCTTCATAATACAATGGTTATGATAGGGTTATAGTTTTTCATTGTTGCAGTTCTTGCTTTATATTTATTAATTATTCTTTGGTTTGCTTCATTTTAATTTGTGTACTTAGTTGTAGACTTTTTGGGTTGCTCCCCATGTTACAGTGATACTTGAAGCAATAATGTTTCACTTATAATTTCCCAATGTGAAAATAAAACCATGCTTTTAATTTCAAAAAAAAATAAGATTTACCCAACAATTTAAGCACTGAGTAATTGTTTCAATAGAAAATGGGAACACATGGTATAATTGAATCAAAAGGAATAATCAGACTGAGCAAGAAAAAAGTGAACATTTAAAAAAAATATAGCCTTAAAATTTGCTACTGATAAAGGAAGTATATAGAATCCTTCTTTAGCATATTTGAAAACAGCTGGATAATATAACTGGAAAATAAATTTGCTGAAGAATATGGAGTAATTCATTTAACAATAGAATCTTAAATGACCTGGACAGAGTAGATCCAAGAACCTATGCATCAGATAATGGCAACTTTTCTAGGTGCAATTTAAGAATAACTAATCTATAAACATTTCATTGGGCTATGTTTAATAATGTCAGGTTTTGAAATTGGCTAGAGGTAATATCAGTATTATTTGTTATGAAATTTAAAATATCTATCAGTGATTTACAAGTATGTATTTGTGCATCATAGAATATTTTGTATCACTATAACAAACTACGTACTTTTAAAGAAAAGTGGCTTATTTCACTCATTTTTCAAACTGATATCTACTATTTATTGAACAATTTGCAAAGCAGGAAGTAACATATCATGTACATTATCTCACTTATTTTTCATAAAAATCCTATGAAGTAGTTAGGTATTACATCCATTACCTACAGAAAATGCAAGAGTTTCAAAAAGAATAAACTACTTCCCTTTGCTAGGGAGAAGCCAAACCAAAATTTGATCCTGACTTGTCTCCCTAGAATGACTCTACAGACATAAAATCTGTCTCCATGTATGAAACGTTCATATTTTCATAGAAATGCAGAGTAACTATTTTAGAATCCCCTATAGGTTCCAGTGTCAGTGCTGTCTTAAAAAAAACCTGTCTGTAAATAATTTTTCTAATTTGTTGATTCTTAAGATAGGTGTTGGCAAAGTTTTCTAAGAAGCCTAACAACATGGTATTTATCTATATTTGTGCAAACTATACTTTTAGGACTCCATCTTATAACTATAGCCTACATAGATATGTATACTAATATTAGGTTCAATTTTTGTAGTGTAATAGCAAAAGAACAACCTAAAGATTTATCAACAAAAGATTAAATGAATCAGTGTATCCATTCAGCATAATCTCTTGAAACCAGAAAATAATTAAGTGTCTTGTTACTTACACACTGATATAGAATGAGATGATTGTCATGCATTCCACTATTGTCATGTATGGAAGAAATAAAAAGAATAACAACAAAAAAGGGGCAAGGGGCACACCTTTATGTATAGTTTGTTACCATTTATGTACAAAAAAACCCCCAAACAATATGCATATATGTTCAGGCATAGACTCTTTCTGAAAAGCACACAGGGAATCAGTAACAGTGATTGCCTGAAGAAGAGAGGCTGGGAGCAGGAGGATGGGTGGGATAGGCTTTTTAATAGAAATCACTTTTATATCTTCACCTATGGAAAAAGTTACCTATTAAAAGATTTTTAGTAAAAAAAAATATATA